GGTAATGAGCTGCGCTGACTTCACCACCCTCTGCAGTACTTTGCGATCCAGGGCGGAGCAGCTCCCACACCAGGCAGTGATGCAGCCAGTCAGGATGCTCTCAATACTTCACCTGTAGAAGCTGGCCTGGATATGTGATGGTATGCTGAACTTCTTTAGCCTGTGGAGTAGGTGCTGCCGTGCTGTTTTGACCACGGTGTTGGTGTGGTGGGTCCAGGTTAAGTCCTCCGAGATGTTAACTCCCAGGAACTTAAAACAGCTGACCCTCTCCACTGCAGTCCCATTGGTGTAGATAGGTGTGTGATCTCCTCCCTGGTGTTTCCTATAGTCCACAATCCTCTCCTTAGTCTTACTGATGCTCAGAGAGAGGTTGTTCTCCTGGCACCATCCTGCCAGGGTTTCAACCTCCTCCCTGTACGCAGACCCTTCATCATTTGTGATCAGGCAGATGACTGTTGTATTGTCCGCAAACTTCATGATGGAGTTTGAGTGATGCCTGGTGACACAGTCATGGGTAAATAAGGAGTAGAGGACAGGGCTAAGCACACAGCCTTGGGGGGCTCCAGTGTTTAGAGTCAGGGTAGAGGATATGTTCGTGCCCACCTTCACCACCTGCCAGGATCCAGGATCCAGTTACAGAGGTAGGTGTTCAGTCCCAGGTCCTGGAGCTTCATGACATGCTCTGAGGGCACTATGGTATTGAATGCTGAGCTGTAGTCAACAAACAGCACATTCTCACATATGTTCCTTTCTGATCCAGGTGTGGGAGGGCAGTATGGAGGGCAGTGGCAATAGCATCTTCTGTTGACCTGTCCTGGCGATAGGCAGACTGCAGCGGGTCTGGGGTGTCAGGCAGTGAGGAGGTGATGTGTGCTCTGACCAGCTTCATGATAACTGATGTGAGTGCAGCGGGGCAGCAGTCATTCAGGCAGCTGGGTCTCTTAGGGACAGGGACAGTGGTGGTCGTCCTCACACTTGAAAGTAAAGAGAAATAAAAACGTTTCACCAGAGCAACTTCCTAGCTTGGACATAATTGATCCCTAATTTTTCAAACGGAGTCCTGCGGGGTTTTACAGCGGGTCTGTAGGCAGCCGAGCTCGGCGGAGCCTCAGAGGCGCGGACTTCTTCCGTGTCGGCGCTGCAGGGAAACACGACCCCCGGGACACAGATGAAAACTACAGGGGGGAGCATTCGGAACAGGCTCCGAGGCCCTTCTTTACACAAAGGGCTGTGGGAGGGTGGAACAAGCGAAGCCAATACCCCTGCTTGTTGAAAGAAACAGCTGGGTGACATCCTGGATGAAAAAGGTGCTGGCAGACGACCTGGATGAGTATAATATCCCCTCGATCTCCACTTTTCTATGTCTCCATACACACTTTTAAACCATTTATAAAGATCTCCTTCCACCTCAGTTCAGTAATTGTAAGTGCCGTATTCTCTACCGCTAGGGACAGTTTATACACAAAATAATATTCTGTTCAAGACTGTAATACTGATCTTCATTACGATTCAAGATCTGGACATATATAGTGATATACATTACAGTATATCACAGTCTTTAACCCCGCATCCTTGTCCGTATCGCACCCAAAGAAGGCTCCACAGCCGAAACGTTGTGGGTCTTTTCTTCTCTTTTCAGCAGGAATAAACCTTTACTTGTTCCTCTGCAGCCTATGCCTGCTGACCCAGCTCCCTCCTTGAACTACTGCAGTCTTGAGCCCTACGTTTTCTCTGAAAGCAGCTCCATCTGGCTGTGTTACATCCGCCTCTTTATCTCGCCTCCTCGCAATATTTTTCCGCGAAGGGTGTGACCGGTCTGCCACGAGTCACGATAACGTCCCTCGTGTCATTGCCCACAGGCAGGCAGCGTGAGTCACGCCTGCGCCCCGCGAAGAGGAGGGGGGGGGGAGTTCCACGTTGCGCACGCTCGGGCACGCTGAGCACGCCGGTCACGTGGCGCCGGCAGTATAAAAGCGTGCTTGTTGACGTCAGCTCTCTCTTCCCTGCCTATCCGCGACCGTGGTGGGCAGCGTATCTCTCCCCGCATCTTTGTCCGTATCAAGAATCCGAGACCATCCGCCAACATGGTGAGTGACAGCGCGGTCTGGAGCTAGGGGCCGAGCGCCCTGCTGCCCGCCGCTCCTGCTGGGCCGGCTATGGAGGCCGGGCGCGGCTCGGGGTCCGTGGCCGCGGGGGTGATGGACGGGGAGCGGAGTCGGCGGGTAGAGGCGGCAAGATGGCAGCTGCTGAGCCCCGGCTCGGCCAGGGAGAGTCCCCGCCACCCGCTGCCCGAGTCCGGGGCGAGAGGGAGCGGCGCCGAGACCCTGCTCTCTCAGGCGCTGCTGTCTGATTTCCCGGCAGTGAAGATGCGCTGAGCGCCGGACCCTGCGGGGGCGATTGTGCGTGTTTTTCTGTTTGTTGTTGCGCGGAGGGGAGTCCGGCCCCGGGAGCCCCGCTGGGAGGCGGGGAGACAGGGCGGCTCCTCGGTCTGTGCGGGAATTAACAGCCGCCGGCTTTGTCATGGGCAGCCGGCTGGGTCAGTCATCGTGTCTTCTCGGTGCCCAGCCTCTGCTTGAAGCCTGTGACGTCAATTCAAATCGTTCATTTTTTTACGTAAAATGTTTGTATAATGGCGCGCTCTCGTGTTTTAAATGGAGCGAAGCCGGTTCTATGTGGCGAGACCGGCCGCGCCTGTGCCCGGCTGCCACCGGCTCGGGCCGTGTATCCACGTGGCCCGCTGGCGGAGCCTCGGCGCTCGAGTGCGGCGCTCAGTCGTTAGAGCGGGACCGGCGAGCGGGGAGGGGTTCAACTCGATGCCGGCTGCAGCAAGGGAGGGGAGGCCCGAGTCGGTACGCATCAATGGGCGCGCGCGAGGGCGGCCCCAAAATTAGAGCGTGAAGTCGATTTAAATGCCCGTGAGCTACAGGCCCGTTTTTTGGCTCTTGTCCTGATGATGCGCAGTCATAACGTTTAGTTAGGCCGCACCCGGGCTGAGCCAGTACGCTTGCAGACGGGAAGGATAAGGGTTTTCCTCCGGTGTAGGGGCGGTGGGTGAGGTGACGGCCTCGATGAGCACCTCCGCAGAGGGCGATGAGCTTGAAAACGGTCGTTCAGCCCGCAGACAGCGCGCCGCTATTGCGTCAGTTTCAGACAAAGACTGAGCCCCTCCGCGGTGCTGCAGAAC